ACACGAGGCATTCCTAATTAAAAATATAGATTTATGACTAAATAATTACTGTCCGAAATAGTGTCTTTTGACTCTGTCACATAATACCATCTTAATATGTTTTTGGGGTACCCACTTCAACCGTTCAAAAAACCCTACCAATTCGCTACCAATCCTCCTTTTGACCTTTCAAGGCCCCCCATGTTCCACTGAAAAAAAAAAAATTGAGGAAAAAAATTGGTGCGTGACGTAATCACAGCTGTCACGCTTCAGTCACGTAGGTCTCTTAAAATCAAGCAACCGCTTTCTAGTAAAACAGATGGCTCATTAGTAGTCGTGCAGAGGAACAACATGGCTGGCATTGTGTGGTGTTCGTCAAGAAGGATATGTAGAAGGCTTGATCATCGAATTTTTACACCAAATAAGCTTCGAGTGAGTAGAATTGACAGCTAAAGAATATGTTTTATATTCAGCTTATTTTTTTAAAGATCAACATAAAATTCGTAGAGCTACAAATTGGGCAAATACATAATAGTAAAAATGAAGCTTATCTTGATACTTCTACACGTGATTTCAATTTTCTGATATTTGTCTTTTCGTTTCCAATTCAAGGTTCTGAAAAACTATAGTTTCAATGCTGGTTTTGAATTTATGGGTGTTTATGTTTTTCTTTGTTGTATGATCATGTTTATTTCCCTTGGGATTTTGTTTTGTTGTGATCTCATACCGTCCTACATTACGTGTGCTTGGGGTCACCATATTCAAGTTCCATTTCTATTAACCTCACCAAGTGTATTTTTTCTAATTCTTGGAGTCACAACAAAGGAAGTCACTTCTCATTTTTGAATTTTTTGTTGTTGTTTTTTTTTTGTTTATTTATTTTATTTTATTTATTTATTTTTTTTTATTTTTTTTATTTTTTTGACCAATACAGGCTGGGATTTAGTGCAAGGCGTTTTTCCTAATAAGATATTCTTTCCCACAAAAAAATGATCCATATATATATTAAATGTTATGGTTCAGCAAAACAAACAAGCTCACATAACGTGTTGTAAAGCTTTGAGTGTAAAGTCATGCTGGTTTCTTCACACTAGGGGTAGCCTACACAGTCAGTCTTAGTCTGTTGTGCAAATGCTGTGTAGGATGCTACACTAGAGATGGGAGCCTTAGAATTGAATTTGTGAGATAGTTACAGCTGTAGTTGTGATCTGATGTACTGGGGATGGTATTACCTCTATTAAAAAAAAAAAAAAAAAAAAATTATCAAAAAATTATGATTCCTCTAGAATTCATGACCGAATTGTTATTTTATTAAGATCATTGTTGAGCTGGGACTGGGATGATCTTCACTCCCCATAGAGGATTCTGTTTTCAGAAAGTTGGCCACAAGAGACTCACAGTTTTTTATCCTTGCAGTTTTCTACCAGTTGTTCCAAATTAGCAAGATTTTATGACAGCCCAGATGAAGCTATTAAAGATGTACCCAGTAACTCAAAATTATTAGTTGGAGGTATGCAGTGTTGTGTGTTTTTTTTATTAGGCCAAACGAAAAAATTAGTGTGTTTCCTGTTGCATAAGAAAAATAATTGGGGTCGGTAGGTTGGACTTTTTTTACTGATACAACAATGGAAATGAGCTTACTGGGAACCCTGTGGAGCATTTGGGAATGAAAAAATATTAGGGTCAGCAAAAATCGGAAAGAAAATTAGGATCAGTTGCAGTCAACAGAAAACACACTTTTTTTTGTTTGGCCTTATTATATAGTTTAAAAATTAGGCATGCTCTGATTTGTCGAGAACTGTGCTACACTGTACAGTATTTTAATGAACAGAGCACAGTTTCTGGGGTTACTGAAATGAGTGCTATTAGTTTCTTCACTATTCATTTTTGTTTTACAGGGTTTGGACTTTGTGGAATACCTGAAAATTTAATTGATGCTCTTCAGAGATCTGGGGTCAATAATCTTACCTGCGTGAGCAACAATGCTGGGTGAGAAAATGTTTCAAAATGACTACAGTATATAAAACCATTATACATCTTTTTGCCTCGGGTGCAATGTCCTCCCATTCCAGACCATGTGTCATTTCCTATAGTATTATTTCTTTATGTAATGGTTGCACCTGAGAAAACACACGAATAGTTACTGAATGAGAAACTGTCATTGAAAAAGCTATGGATGCAATATTGTGGCTATAATATTAGGTATAAAACTATTAATTACAGTGCAACTCAATTTTGAGGACAACCTTACTAAATGATAATAATTCCTTCTTTTTCTTTGGAAAATATTAAAAAATATTTAGCCATGATAAAATATATATAACAAATAAAATAAAAATACAAAAAGTAATAATAATAAAATAAATAAAAAAATATCGTGATATTCATAGATTTTTTAATTTTTTAGAGTGGACACCTTTGGTCTTGGTTTGTTACTCAAGACAAAGCAAATAAAGAGAATGATATCTTCTTATGTTGGTGAAAATGCTGAGTTTGCTCGTCAGTATTTGTCTGGGGAACTTGAAGTAGAGCTCACACCTCAGGTAGGATCAAGAATTGGATGCAGTCCATATACCAAAATTCAAGGTGGCTTACAGGAATGGAATGGAGCCACCAACCCTTGCAGGAATATTTAAATATAGTGTAGATTCTAGTGTTGGGTGGTTTATTGACTTAAGCTTTTCTGCCAAAATTTTCAAAACTTGCAAACAGGTAGAAACTAAATATTTGATACAGCATCGTATTTCTAACAGTAATACATTTATTAACCCCAATTCTGTACCTCATGAAGTGCCATCCCAAGTACATGTACCTCCACATGAGTAACTTTATGTTTATGATGTGTTGTCTTCATAAGAAATCCTGTGTTTCTGCATTTGTGCTCAATATTGCTAATGGCTTATTTCAGGGGACGCTTGCTGAGAGAGTAAGGGCCGGAGGGGCAGGCATCCCTGCATTTTACACACCAACTGGATATGGGACCTTGGTACATAAAGGTGGGGCACCAATCAAATATAACCAAGATGGCACTGTCGCTATTGCTAGTAAACCAAGAGAGGTGGGTATGCAACATATGAGCAAATGAGCCAAGATAGCGCAATGCGTCATACTATTATGGGTTCAATCCTTGGACCCTGTATCATGTGAGTAGAGTTATTTGTTGGATCTCCCTCCTATGCTACAAGGTTTTCTCTTTAGTTTCCTAATAGGCCCTTTGCAGCTAACGGTCACGTGTTTGTACTGGACTGCAAAATTTTTGTTTTTACATTAAATTGGTGATTCTTTTTAGCTGCTTGTAAAGAACTGAATGAAAACATGTGTATCCAGTGTGTTTTGAAATGCAGTTTTATTACGATCTCTCGAAAGTTTGAAAGTTTGAAAGTAGAAAGTTTGTTTGCAGTCCAGTAAATTTCACCCATGGGAATCAAAATGTTCATTCATTTGCTCTCAGTGAATTAATCAGCACGTGATTGCTTAGCTGCAAAGGGCCTATTTCCAGGTGATTTGGAGTCTAGGAATGCAATGCATTGTTGGTTTTTTTTACAGTCAAGATTTCCAAGTATTTTTTTTATTATCTCTAGTCTAAACAAAATATTTTCCACTACCATCAACAAATTAATATGCCATTTCTAGAAGATATTTGATGAATCTTTTCATGGATCAGTTTTATTTTCAAGTAAAAGCTGTTGGCGAATTCATTCGAGGGGCGTTAAGTGAAATCACCTAGTTTCCTCTTTTTGAAGCATTCCTGGACAGGAAGCTGGTGTACAAGCATCTAAACTCCTCTACTGTATATCCCACTACTAGTCTGAGAAGAAAGATTCTATTGTACCAGCTATATGTGATTATTCTATTATCAGTCGACTGTCAATAGAGAGGATATGCCATTGTAGCAGTCAATCAGCTGTTCTGTTAACATTTCTTGAGCAGCAATCTACATGCCGACCAAAAACTTTGCTTCTTTTTGAATATTTTTTGTGTAAAATATTTGACGGGACCTCAGAGTTAATGTTTTAAATAGGTCTTCAAGCCTTCACTAATTAAACATTGGAGAAAACATTTCTCTTCAAATATTGAAGAGCAATCGATCAGCACTCATTGCTTTAATGGCCTATCCTTTCTATTGACAGACTCAGATAATTACGAGTTCTGTAATGTAAGCTAGATAAAATAGCATTCATGACATCTTACTACCTGCATTCTTTACAGTCAAGAGATTTTAATGGGCGACACTTCATAATGGAAGAAGCCATCACAGGGGATTTTGCCTTGGTTAAAGCATGGAAAGCAGACAAATCTGGCAACTTAACATTTAGGTAAGTGTCAAAAAAATAGAACTGCATTTTTACTTTTACTTAATTTATAACAGTATAATGTGACTTCAGCTTTAAAAACTGGACTGATTTGCACTGCAACACTGCTTCATCTATTGTTATTAAAACACATGAAAGAGTATAGTTTCATTTGTTGCTTGTAGAGTAACATTAATGGTTGATAAGGTATTTGCTTGATTAATTCTTTTTGATGGTTACTGTTGTAACACCCATTTTATTTATTTTTTTGTAGGAAATCAGCACGCAACTTTAATGCTCCGATGGCAAAAGCTGCCAAAGTTACCATTGCAGAGGTAATAGTATAACCCAGTCAATTAAACTGTATTAGATTTTATTTGAGAATTTGGCCGAGGGCTGGTATAGCACAATAGGACTCGAGGTCCTCTATGAGGTACATACACCAATCCCACCCCTTAAGAACCCCTAACCCAACCCACAAATCAACCCGTTAAGAAATCATTAGTAAAGGCCAGACACCGAGGGTGGTCACTGCCAGGGTTTTATTACGTCCTCAGTGGTTCTTTTATGTCCCTCCAATACAGGGTTAGATAGTGTGGAGAGATGGGGCCTACGGTTTAACGTCCTTATACGAGAAGACGCAAAGGTCTAACCATTTGCAGATGTAATTACAAAGGCAGCACCTTCTCCTCAGTTATTTTAAGACCCTGAGTGTTGGTCCGGCCGGGAATCGAACCCCGGTCTCCCGCACAATATTCCGGCACCCTACCAACTGAGCCAACCGGTTGTCGGTTAAAGATGCATACATGTCATTATGTAACAGATGTTTTTAATCTTGCAAAACCAATCTTACAGGTTGAAGAAATTGTCGAGGATGGAGAAATCCCAGCAGAAGATGTGCATGTTCCTTGTGTTTATGTACACCGTGTCATCAAAGGAGAAAAATATGAGAAAAGGATTGAGGTAAATACTGTATGTTTTGATACTTGGAGCTGTAATAGTTGGTGTAGTGGTAGTACACTCAGCTTTCGATCACCTCTGGGGTTCTGGTTTCTGCTGCAGTACTCAATCATCATTGTTTATTTCCAGGGTAGAACTTAATAGCAAGTGGCTAACAAACCTCACAGAGGCCTGCGTTCCATGATCAAATTGGAATTTAGGAGTTGATTTTTGTGGAGGGAGGTAAACTGGAGAACCCAGAGAAAAACCCTCAATGAGGCATCACATCACCTGTCAGATTGTTATTTGTTTCTCGTCAAAACAACTCTTAATGAACTGTTTTGAAAGATCATTAATTTTGTGAGATATATACATAGTCCTGATATCACTAAAGCTGCTAGACCTTTTAAAGGGAGGCTCTGCTGAAAATATGTCAATCAAAGGATACAAAGAGATAGTTAATATGAGGCTCATAAGAAATTGTTTATTTGTGTATTGGCCACCAGCTAGTTAGCTCAGTTAGTAAGAGCATCGATCGGTCTGTTGTGCAGGAGATGGTGGCTCAAGCAGACCAACACTCGGGTCTTAAAATAACTGAGTAGAATATGCTGCCTTTGTAATAACATCTGCAAATAGTTAGGCTTTGAAGTGGCTCGGGTGACCATGTCAATGGCAGTCCTGTCCCCAATCAACTAGAAACGTTAAAAGAGGACCACAAACTTATCAGTTGATTTGATGTCAAGTATTATCCTCTTTTTGAAATGTTGATTAATTGATCTGTGTGTTTGTTTTATCAAGCGATTGACACTGACTAAAGATGATAATGGCAAGAATGAGGCCAAGTCGCTAGCCTTGGAGTTTAGAGAAAGAATCATCAAACGAGCTGCCCTGGAATTCAAAGATCATATGTATGGTATCCTTGACAACCAATGGCATACTCAGTATACCTGAAATTTACCATTGTGTGTGCCTGCGTGTGTAAGTCAGCTTGATTAAATAATCTTGACATGATCCAGGGCTAATTTAATCCATATTTCATGGTATTTTTCTCCAGGATCTCAAAGCTAATACGCACTTCTAAACTCTGAGTTGTAACACTTGTGCACAGACGTGCTGCGTCTTACCATTTCCGACACCCCTGTTCACAATTAGTTGTGCCATCAACTTCGTATTTTGTATAAATGTAGAAAAATGACGATGCCATGAACGAGCATTTTGGCAGTTGGATTAACAACTATCTCGCAAGCTGACTGATTCAAAAGTTGTCATGAATACACCCTGTTACCTTGGGTGTAATATTTTCCCACATCAGACCATGTGTCATTCCCTATAGTATAGAATATGATTTCTGCCATAGTTAATAGCTATTAACTATAGTTATTAACTATGTTTCTGCTTAATTTGCATGAGAAGACCCATGAATATGGAAACAACTCAAACAAGGAATCTCATTCTGTAGAGAATAACAAATGTTCTAAAATGGGAAAACAAAGGGCTCAAGGTACAGAAATCTATACTGTACCGTTACCGTGCTGCTCCACGAAATCTACTTCAATAACTGTCAATCACAATTCTGTACTGTCCATCAATAACCCTTAACTGTCATTCAGCAAATCTTGGTATTGGTATGCCGATGTTAGCGAGTAATTACATTCCTGAAGGCATGACTATTAATCTACAAAGTGAGAATGGAATCCTTGGCTTGGTAAGTAAATTTGTGCAGCATGCAGCTCCTAATACATACATCGTTCGTACATTCCAGTACTCCTTCTTACAGTTCTGTTCAATGACCACGAATGATAGTTGCAAGTCGAGGTTGGATGAACGTATAGTTTTTCTGTGCGCAGCAACTCCAACCTGACTTGGAACCAGACAATGGTGTATTTTAGCGTTGTCAGTGATCTTGTTGGTCAACTTTGTTTAAACATACAAACCTACTTGTCGTATTTAGAATGCTTTCGGTTGTTTCTTTGTTTACTGGGAATAGCAATGAGTTGTACACCTCAGTATTCTCTCACTTCAGTGTCGATAGTAATGCTAATAACACTGAGTTATGAGGAAAAGTATGGTGATTATAGTGATAGTGATAGTGATTTTTTCCATATTTTCAGGGTCCATTTCCAAGACCAGGAATGGAAGATCCAGACCTGATTAATGCAGGTGAGAAGAGTTGCATAGCTAGAGTCCCAGAGTTCTGGCAGGGAGGGGCGTGGATGGGCGTGCGCGCACGGTTTGGAGGCAAATAGTGCTGCATCAAGTATTCGTAGTAGACTGAGAGTGTTTGATTGATTGGAATTTTCTCACAGGCAAAGAAACAGTGACTGTAAGACCAGGCAGCTCGTTCTTTTCGAGTGATGAATCATTTGCAATGATACGCGGGTAAGTTGCATCGAATGTGTGATGATATGAGAACTCCTTCGTCAGCGTGTGTCAGTTTATTGACGCGTTTTCTGTGTTTGTTGAATTGCGTTTGCGTTTGCGAGATTACCGATTGATGCAACGCCAGTTCATAAACAAAGGTTTTCTCCTCTCCTCTCCTCCAAACTACTACCTCAATACTTTCTCCCAAAGTCACAAATCGTTTCTCAAGACTCTTCCCATCTTTGAAATTTTCGTACTGTTTTCCCTTCCATTTGAATGGTACAATAAATATGGATGTAAAGTCACTCGAACAAAAATCGTATTACCAAAAGCTCTGAGATGTAGGAAACCCCGCGAATGAGAAAACGCGTGACTAAATGTTTTTATCTTCAGAGGACACATCGACCTTACAATCCTCGGCGCCATGCAAGTATCACAGTTAGGAGACATCGCTAACTACATGATTCCTGTAAGTAACATTGTATTTACTGCATGAGTTGTTTGCTTCATAGTCACACTAAAAATCGAATTGTTTCATTGAATTTCATTGCGTAGGGCAAGATGGTCAAAGGCATGGGTGGAGCAATGGACCTCGTGTCCTCCCCCTCTAAGGTCATCGTAACCATGGAACATACGGCAAAGGTATGGCGTCATCATTTGATATCTAATAATATTCTATCACAGACAGACAGACAAATGGGCTGAGTAGACAGACAGACAAACAATTTGTCTACTCTCTGCTTCTAGCGTTTAGATTCTTATTAGTTTCTGGTGGATTTTTCCGCACTTGCAGGGAGACAAACACAAGATTCTTGAGAAGTGCACCCTACCCCTGACGGGGACTGAATGTGTCAATATGATCATCACTGAAAAGGTACGTCATGACGACATGATTTTATGGAATGTACGGAGAAAACTGGTACCGTGTTGTGTCAGTCAAAGCGTGAAAAGATCAATCGCATGACTGAAACGTCAGGTCAGTCACGGTACGGAATTAACGACATCCCATGAACCAATCACATAACACGATATCACTGGTCAGCAAATGAAAATGTGCGGACACCGTAACGTCACGGCCACGGTACGGCACTTATGGTTGGCCAAAATACGGGGTGTGGAATTCTGATCGTCCAACAATTTCCCGCCTCTCAATTTGAGAGTCAAACTGCATTCTGTGATTGCATCATCCTCTTCAGATCTCCAGTATTGTTTATTGTATTCTTTCTTGACTTCTTTTTCCTCTTGGCTGTCTGTAGTGTGTTTTCGATGTTCATCCCGAGCAAGGGTTGATCCTGAAGGAACTGTATCCTGGCGTCTCGATTCAAGACGTACAAACATCTACGGGCTGTGGCTTCGAGGTAAGCACATATCATAATTTTAACTCTCCTCAGTTCCTATAAGCAATGAAAAAAGTTTTTTTTTTCGGTGTAAGCACATTTTTGATCGTTTGAAGCTATTGTTCCAGCCACCATTACTCCAGTCCCGCGTGAAAAAGGTCCTTGTGTTAGATTTCTTACGTTAACATCTTATCGATATTACTGTACTTTATCTTTGGCCAGATTTCTCCTGACTTAAAGGAAATGGGACAGATTGGAGAAGAGGACTAGAAGATAGAAAGTACGACTAAATCAATTGAATATGAATTTTCACTAACATTATTTTAGAAATCCTTATTCTATTATTTCTTCTTTTTGCGCGAAACTCCACCTGGAATGTGGTCTACTATACTATTCCAGTTGTGGGCTGAACAGACCGAGCTGAATTTTACGATTTTTTTTATGCATGCCCTTCCACTAATGATAAAATCCAAGTATGTGGCTCAGAGTATAATGGTATAACACAGCTTTATCATTTAGCTGTTAAAAATGAAGGGGTCTGTCAATGGTGTTCTTGAATGTCACGCAACGTTTCACTGGCTTCGTAAGTGTTGCGTGACAGCCCTAAATACGTCTACAGTTTATAGCATTATAGGGCATGCTCGAAGTCCCTCGACTTTCCTCTGCCTAAAACACCGATTCTCACACTCAGGGTTTAGGACTTAATATGGGATAGGGGTTTCAGAGTCAATTGTTTCCATTTTTGCATTGTGATGTATTTTGAGTGGAATGGGGTAAGGTTTTTGTCCCCTTTAAATATTTATATTGACTTGAAAAAGTATACATTGTTCAAAAACTTGATGTAATCATATTTTTTGAGGCATAAATAAATTATGAACGAATACAAAACATTGTACGGAACTCTCATGAATTTCTACAGAAAATAGCTCTGCGGATAATCTATGGTTACGAACTACCCTACGAGGCCTTAAGTCTCTCGGGGCTAGAGACTATTTCAGTGTAGGGAACGCCACTGTAAGACCTTTTTTTGACAAAATTGTCTTAAATAAGTCTGATAACTTGCACCGTTTATTGCCATTTAATTAATACAAATGAATATAGTGTTACTCAACCAAAGCAAAGACGTTTTACTGTTCCCTTGTGCGAGACCAATTGATATAAAAACAGAATGGATAACTAGCTAAAAACTAGTGTGAGCTGCGTCTGTGTTTCTAATGAAACAGTAATAAAAGGGTAAGTTTTAAATCGTGAAAAAATGAAAAAACTTACTAAAACTTACTCATCTTTTCACGGTTACCCTTTTATCATTACTGATATAAGAACAGCTTCATGATTGCAGGCGCACTAAATTACGATAAATTTGATTTATTTTAGTAAGTGTAGATATTATTTATTGTACATTTAACTGATTCATAGTATAATTATTTTTATTTATTTATTTTGTATTCAAGCAATTCGGTGAGGATCACATCCGATTTGACAGTGTTATTGAATGGGAGTTCACGTTCGAATGAGCATGGCTAACAGCCAATCAGAATCTATCATATATAATCGCACAATTTGCGGGGGGTCCAGAACAAGCTTTCTAGCAATGTTTCGCAGACGGTATTTACGAAGAAAATTCCGGATGTGACGCAGGCTAGCCTTTGGTTGCAGGTAGATTTTCAATGAAGCATTTATCCCTAGTGACGTCATCGCCACAGTTTTTTTTTTTTTTTTTTTAGTAATTTTTTCATAAAAATCGTGGCGATTAGTTGGATGCTTTTATTACTTTGATCGTTACCGGGGGGAAAAAAGAAAGGACATAGAAATATTTGATAGTTTTGGTGGTAGACTAAAAAAATCTTTCTGGTCCGTATGGGGCTCGAACCCATGACCTTAGCGTTATTAGCACCACGCTCTGCCGACTGAGCTAACGGACCCAGATGAAAATAATCGATCTTTAATTAGAGTTTTCTTATTATTCTGTGGAAGTACTTGAAGAGTTTACATTTTGAAAACATTTTAACTAGTTACTTGGTTAAAAAAAAACTGTTGAAACAGACAGGACGGTGGACTCATAATTTTGCAGACAAAGAAGCTTCCGTTTTTCGTTTTAGAGACCAATAGTAACTCATTCAGAAAGTACCTGTTTTAAAAATATTTATCATTTTAATTAATTAACTTTTAAATGTGCATTCCATCATGGTTTGTTTCATTTATATACACCAATTAAAAAACGTCGCGTTCAAAAAGTTTGAATCATCGAAACTAAGACCGAAGGGTGTTCTGGGTAATCTAAATCCTGGGCATTTGAAGAGTGTTTGCATACAGACACATGTGGAGAGTGACAAAATGCTTTGTTTGGTAGCTTAACGCGATGATCTAGAGCTGCAAAACTGCAATATGTATAACATGAGCTTTATTAACTGTTTACCCAGAAAACCTTTCGGACTTGGCTTCGATAAGTTTCTTAATCCGACAACGTTTTTTAATTTGGTGTATATGCCTTCCATGCTTTGTTTTTGCTTAGGTTGCTATCAATAGACGTCACTTCCGGTAATAGCTGCGTTTTTGATGGCTTGTAGAATCTTGGAGGTTGTTTTGATCTCTTGTTTTCTGGTTTGATATCGTGAAAATAGTCAAATGCAATAGTTTGAAGACTTATTTTGATATGTTTTGACTTAGCATCCGCTAGTTGCCCCTCAGTCAACCGCTTGTTTGCCCCCCTGTCAACTCCAAAAAGTCACGTGATTGATAGTAAGCAATAGGACCGCCCTCTAGAACACGCTCATCAAAACGTTGCTTTTTACTATTTTCTTTTTTTTTTTTTTTTTTGGCTTGTTTGTAAAAAATATTAAGACTCTGATGCTCTCCGAAACTATAAGACGCAGCATTTGGGCGCAGGAAAAGTGTAAATATTAATAGAGATCTTCCGTAGATTGATAGCGGGATTTCTTGATGTACATACGATTTGAATAAGCATCATTGATTGATAGAATGAAGGGATTTACCCCGGGAAATAAAAAATACTAGTCAAAGTGTAATAGTCAAATAAACACAAAAGAAAACAATGGATTTATCTATAGATCTCTAGTGACTCAGTAAAAAGAAGGTTCTGGTCCGTATGGGGCTCGAACCCATGACCTTAGCGTTATTAGCACCATGCTCTGCCGACTGAGCTAACGGACCGAACTTAGTTGATGTCTATGAAACCTCTAAGACAAGACATATTATCCGAACTGCGATTAAAATAACTTGATTTGTAGAGTATTCTTAGTTTCCTCTGCATTCAGCCGTCATGATACACACGAGCGCTCTCCACGAAGGACCCGCAAGGATCTGGGACAGAAACTAATGACTTGTGTTCGCATCAAAAACGGAAACAACTACGGTGTATTTAGTTTACGTCTAACTTTTATGCTACGATCATTGTCAGGTCCTTAGCAGGCAAAAATTACTCCGTTTCTAGCACTTTGCTAATGGAGTTGTGTAAAGCCTACGTCTTATGGACCATAATTACAAGGGAAAAAGAAAAGATAACGAAAGCCCCTGGAGAGATTCGAACTCTCGACCCCTGGTTTACAAGACCAGTGCTCTAACCACTGAGCTACAGAGGCTTTGATTAAAATATGAATTTAATCTAAACATTTTATTATTAACAGCTTAAACTTTCTTCTTACAAGTTGTTTCTATGGAAACTTTTACCATTCTTGGAGAAATCTGTAGCACGAGAGCCTGCCATGCTATTTGGTCGGTGGCTCGTGATTTGCTAAGACAAATGTTCTGATCAAATTTCATTTAAACTTTATACTGTTGCTTTAAAGCTTCAATAATAAAGAAATCACAAGATACAGTTAAAAAAAACCCTACCAAATTAAAGACAAAGCCTTTATGACATTCGAAACCAATATGGTGGCTATGACGTCACATCGGGTGTGTGTGCCAACCAACCACACCTTTTAAAGTTTTCATACATTCTCGGTTAATTGTGAATAATTGCAAACCACCTATACCGTGGCAATCAGCAGACATACAGACTTTTTTGAGTTTGATAAACAAGATGTATTCTGGTTTAGCTTGGATACAAACAACTCCATGGAAGGTAAGATGAGCAAAAAATGTTTGTACATAAGCTAGACCAGAATACACCATGCTTGCTATCTCAGAAAAAGTCTATTGAGCTCTTGGCGCAATTTCAGTTTCCAAAGCACTGCGGCTAGGATATTTCACTTGCGCCATTTCTCTGTCATTTAAAGCCCAAGCTCCAGCGATTAGAGAAAAAGTCCAACAAGTGTGTGAAGTTACGGTGATCAAACTACGACTTCAGGCTTCCGTCTTTGTATTAGGATTAGTTCCAAGTCTTCGCAGGCTAAACATGTTTTTGATCATGACAAGGAGAAAAAAAGTCAAGTCAACGAAAGCCCCTGGAGAGATTCGAACTCTCGACCCCTGGTTTACGAGACCAGTGCTCTAACCACTGAGCTACAGAGGCTTTGTGATTTGATACATTCAGTATAAACAGTTTAAGAACTTCTCTTCACTTGTTTCTATAGAAACTTTTACCATTCTCGAAGAAATCTGTAGCATGAGAGCCTGCTATGCCATTGGTTCAGCGGCTTGTTTGCTAAGACAGATCACTATAATTGATTCTAAACTTTAATTGATAATGTTGCATCCTTAGACCTTCTTTCTGGAGTGCCTCATTATTCATATTATAAAGATAAAGAAAAGATAGAAGATACGCACAGCAAAGCCAAACCAACGACAACTAACTTAACACATCCAAATCCAATATGGCGGCTATGACGTCACTTCGGGAACCAAAGAATAGCGTTTAATTTGCTGACAGCACCTATTTATATAGGTGTCGTCTCGCAGACATAAACCTTTCCTGAGTTTGATAAACAATATGTGCTTTGGTCTAGCTTGAGTATTAGCTAACAACACCATAAAAGGCAAGATGAGCAAAAAATGTTGGTATCGAAGGTTAGACCACAATGCATTATGCTTGCTATTTCAGAAAACAGCTTAGGGCTCTTGGCGCCAGTGCAATGGGGGTAGGATATTGAATTTGAGTCATTTCTAACCGCCTCTCTCCATCGGTGCCCTATCTCTCCATCATCGATTTTCAGGTCCTTTTTTAAAAATAAGTCGAAACGAATTGTTCGAGGTCACTGGGAAATACGTACGGCTTCAGGCTAAGCAGCTAGGCCGCGTCACCAGCGAAATTGTCGATTATTATTTCTACGATAAAGTAATATAAAAGATTGTGCTTCTCTTCATGTCTTCCAGCTTCAGGCAAAAATGACTTTTCTTTCATTTAACGTTCGAAATCTAGGACATTGCTATAAATTATATCCAAAAATATGTGACACTCAAAGCCCCTGGAGAGATTCGAACTCTCGACCCCTGGTTTACAAGACCAGTGCTCTAACCACTGAGCTACAGAGGCTTCGATAAATTATAAATCCTAAATAAGCAATTTATTGACCACTGTTTCTCACCACCTCGTTACCATAGTAATTTTGTTATCCCAGATACCATCCCATTCTTAGTTAGGGAGCTTGCTGCAAGCACTCATGCGCAAATGTATGCGTGAGTGATGTGATAAATCAGCTCGTCATACTCATTTTCCAATTCAATTTTCGAACAAGTGGTCTCTTGAGTATTATTTTACCTTGTTTTCAATTAAAAGTTAGAGTCAATCCAAAAGGTTTAAAATGGAAAAATGCATTCCTCAGTCCATTTTAATATTTGTGCAGAGATTTTAAATTTAGGGTCGTGTTTGTGTATTTAGGTTTTGATTGACCTTGGATTGAAGAATTTAAGAAACACAACAATTAAGGAGGTATAAGCTTTTGGTCGGTCGGAGCCAAGATAATTTGTTTCTTGTTTGAAAAAGACATTGACGTTACGTCTTTTCCATTTCTCATTGAATTTGAACAAAATGTATTTTTGTTTCAATAGCCAGTACGTAGTAGTCGGGGTTGGAAAATTAATATCAATAACCGACGTCAGAGAAAATATTCTGACGAAGTTCCCAAAGTGACGTCATAGCCGCCATATTGAATTCCGATAGTTTTAGGGCTTGGCCGTTGGCTTCTTTGTTCTTTCGACTGTGTTAACTATATCTTCTGTGATTTCGTTCTACTGCGTGGGAAAAGTGGCCAGAAAGAAAGCACTGAACAATATAAAGGTAGAAAATCAAGCAGCTCATTTCTCATGGGCCGGGAAGCAAGCCACTGACCCAATAACATGCAGGCTCTCGTGCTACAGATTTCTTCAAGAATGGTAAAGGTTTCCATAGAAACAACTCGTAAGAAGTAGAAGTTATTTATAAAAAGTTTAGAATGAACAAACTTAAACATCGAAGCCTCTGTAGCTCAGAGGTTAGAGCACTGGTCTTGTAAACCAGGGGTCGAGAGTTCGAATCTCTCCAGGGGCTTTATAGACTTTTCTTTTTTTCTCCTTGTCATGATCAAAAAGATGTTAAGCCTGCGAAGGCTCTTACCAGCAAAAATAGGAAAAAAAGTGATGCCTTATTTGTTGCATGCTTACTTATTTCTTGCTACTTCAAGCTGACTGTTGGGTTGCAAGCATTGCCAAAAGAAACATGCATGGCGGCCATCTTGGAATTAGCTATTTCGAAAATGAGAGTTTTTGAATTCCCGTTAGCGAAGGTACGTTTGTTATTGGGGGAAGGGGGAAGTGCTGGGACTTCAAAGGGGAGATTCATCAGCTACAATTTGAGCTTTTTGAAGGAACAGAAATTCATCAAAATATCACAAATGCCCCTCAAAACCGGCTCTGGAAAGTCGCATTTCCGAAGGGTCTCAATTTCAAAATTTTCAAGGAGCATGCCTCCGAAACCCCTCTCGTTTGCCTCAGAAAACAATTCAGTCTCTCGCTACGGCCCTGCCTTGTTGACTTGATAGAAAGGTTATGAATTTCTTACTGAGCAAAACAAAGGGGCTACGACCATTTTTAAACAGTTTCACTGCGAATCCCCCAGCTTCACCCCCCTCCCCCCTCCCCATAAAAAACGTACCTTCCCTTACTTTCTACAATTCCCAGATAGCTGCGGTCAAGTCGCTTTTAATTGCACTCTTATGGTTAAAATAAGTAAAATGATTAAAATAGAACAGCAATTTTCAGTAGAATTTTTTGTGCTCCGCATACTATTAAATGCCGGATAAAAAATCAAATCTGAAATTTCGGAGAACAACCGATAGAGAATCGCTTTTATTGTTAGCATTCATTGTGAAACTAGTAGTTTTCTACTTCAAGGTATAAAAGACAAGCTTAATAGAACCATTAATCATCACTGGTTTTAAGTCTTAATTCAGACAGGATACATAAGACATTATGCAAACAAAACAGTTAGAAAAGTGAAACAACGGAAGTATTCTACAGGTGCAACGAATAACAAGCTACAATTAATGGTTGATATCAGTTATTTCATTTTTTTTAAACCTTAATCAGTGGAATTTCTCAAAATTATTCTTCAATTCGAAATTATATTTTAACAGAAGTTTTTATTCAAAGAGGTTACAAAAATTATGCGTTCATATATAAATATCACTACTTCCTATGATAAATGATATGTAAATTAGATTTATCAATCGTAAGATCACTACCTCATATTCTAGCGTATAAAAAAAAGCGAAAAATTCAACTGAATGTTTTAAAGAAATTCGAGTAAAATATCAATAAAAATGATGAAGATTGATTATTTAAAAAAAATAAAACTAAAAATAGTGAAAAAACAGCATTTTATCATAAAAGAACTTGACTGAATTGTATCGTATCGACTACTAGTTTTACATTATCTAATTACAATATTTGAGCTCAATTTTAACAGCTTTTGTTTTTTGTTCGACTCTAAGGAATACTCGATAATTCAATCACTTTTCTAATAACATAGTTTAGCTATATTTTTTGTTATTTTAAAGAGGCTCACCAATTTGAAGTCAAAATAAGATAATTCACGAACCTATTTAGTAAAGGTGTCGACACTTGAGTCCACAATAAACACAATTATCGTCATTTTGAAACGTTTTGAAGACTTCCACGGTTTCTAAATCGTCTTTTTTCCACGTATCATTGCAATAAGAGTTTCTAGCATCACTCCTTCCAGCATTCTCTCTGTTACCTTGCCTTGTGGGATGCTAAAACAAATATGTCCTTTATGTCCTCTTTTTCCAGGCGTTGTCAAAACTCTCGGCAAATCGACGAACGAAACGGGAACGATTTTCGACCGAATATTGTCTTTGTTTTCCTTTAAAAACTGGCTGATAATCTTCCCGTTAAAGTTGACTTCGATTCCTCCCTCAGCTTTAAACACAGAGCTTTCTTCATTGTCGATCAGTTCGTTTGTCTTAGGGGAGCAAACGAGAATGATACAATCACAGTTCACAAGCTCTTTTTCAAGCGTCGAGTTTCTTGTCTTTTCAATGTCGACCAGATCGAACACTTCCACATCACCGTTGGACTCACTCTCTAAAACTGTACGTAATTTTTCTGCATTTTCGACATTCTCCTCGGTAAAAAGAAGCAAGGTCCTCTTAAAACTTGATCGCTTCGCCATATTTTCTTTTAGAAGAATTATTAATAAGTAATTCTTCCTCGTGTGCGGTTACAGATCCAACCACAAGCCTCGATGCAAGACAGGTTACTAGGATATGAGAAACACTAGTCAAAAATTTAACAAAAGATATTTGAAAACGCTTAAAATTTCTCGAAAAGTAAATCACTATTTTCACACACGAAATGGCTTTTTAGCATAAATAAAAATTCGGAAAAAAAATTAGTTATATAGAATTTTTATCGAAACTGCAAGGCTAAAAAGTGAATGGCTTTATTTCACTTGTAATTTTCGATTTTCGATTGGAAACGCTTGTCATGAAAGCCGCGTTGTAGGAACGATTTCCACAGGTGGTTTGAACAATGGATATTAAATAAACGCTTACATTATAAAACAAAAAGATACGTTTACTAAGGACTAAACAGCAAAATACATTATTTATTTAGTAGCAAAGTGATTTCGACTTATCACGTTCAATTTTGCGAATTAAAATCAGTTGAATCGTCGTGTTTATTCGATGGTTTGTCGGGAACTTTTCGGAACATTTCCGCGAATTAAAATATCTACTTTTTCTTTTGTTCTTTTTTATTCTTTCCTCCTTTCTTATTTTCAATTTTTTCCCTTCCTTCCTTCCTTCCTTCCGCCCTCCCTTTCTTTCTCTTTCTTTCTGTCTGTCTTTCTTTCTTCCTTACTTACTTTTTTCTTTCTTTCTCTTTCTCTCGTACGCTTAGGGAATCGAGACAAATTAGAACCAAGATTTTACTTTACTTTTAAAGAATTCAGGTAAAGACATATGTGTATAAGTATTACCATGAACACAATTTAACTAAATCATTCCTTTTACTTAATACATATCTTGAAACTAAACGAAAATAAAATTCCTATTTAACGTAATTTGTCAAAGAAAATAATTTCGTCGTAAAAACCAGAAATATAACAAAAAGTATGAAGATTACCAACGCTGAATATTCGAAGCGTTGTATACCGCGTTAAGTAGTGTAAGGGTTTAGAACTGACTTTTATTTGCGGAAAAAAAGTCACAAGCTTAGTTATTTTTTGCGCGATTTTGACTAAATGAAAACCCAATGAAAATGGTGAAGCCATTTTAGTGTTATTGTTCACGTGCATATTTTTAAAATTCCTGAAAGAAATGTTTGGTTTTACTTTTGCAGTGCATGTGTCGCAATAGCTGCCATTTTGATTGACTTTGACTAAAGTTTGATCTTGGTGTCTTTGGTCATGTCAACTAACATGGCGGCCACTCGTCTTTTTCCTTTTTTTTCTCATGTGAAGAGATATTGTATTTAGCTTTTGGGATTAACGACTTAGTTCTTACAAGTTTTTGTGTACAATGGAGTTTATGATAATAATAATTATAATAATAATAACATATATAAATAAATAAAAATATCAACAAAAATTTAAATTGATTCCCACGTTGTTTCCTCCGATTTTACTGACTTCGCTTCGTCTTATTTCTGTGTTAAAAAAAAGTAGCGAAACGATTAGAAATGAGCAGAGTAATTTATTTGTATTTAAAGATCATGTAGGTTAACCTTTTTTAAGATAAAAACTACCGATAGAAACAAGGGACGTTCCGATGTCAACATAACATCATATTCAAGTTTAAACTCAAATGTGGACGCGAAAGACTATATATATCCATCATCTACAACGTCCACATTTCCAGGTTAGTTTGAGCTTGAAAATGATGCTATCTTTGAGTTACATCTAAACGTCGCTCGTTTCTATCGCTAGTTTTCATAATAAAAAAATATTTTATTTGTGTGCAAACATCTCTGAAGGAATAAAACTGGCAGCCATGGTGAAAGCCATGTAGGATCATTTCATGACTATAATGGATTTGGAATCATTCCTAAGGGAATAAAAGTGGCAGCCATGTTGGATGACATTCACTATAGGTGGTTTGTAATCATTCCTAAGGGAATACAAATGGCAGCGAATATAGAAGAAGTTTGAAATTAGTAGTCCAAAGGAGTATTTTAAACTCAGAAAATGTAAAGGAGAATGAAGAAAATAAAGTTGAAGGAGAAAAACCAGAAAAGTGGAAACGATGGCAGTAGAAAGAGCGAAATGCACATGCTAAGGCTGTTTCACAAGCTGGTTTAAAAGACTGGTTTCGTTACTGACGTGACAAAAGCGAAATAATGAATAACAAACTTATGTTTAATTTCAAGTTTCACTTCCTTCGTAATGCATCGTACTTATTGAAAAAGTAATTTTGTTAAATTTCCATTCAAATTTCCTTTCTATTCTAAATCCCTTTTTTTAATTTATCTAATACCTTTTTCGCATCCCATTTCTATTCTACACATCTCCATTTAGGCCATATCCTTTATTTTATAATAGCGGCATCCCTTGAGTTAATAAAAGAATAAACTAGCTGTTGCATAACGCAAATGAAATGCTGCGAGTATGTATAAGATAATACCAAAAGATGTTTATGGTATGTAAAAACTTCCGCATTTGATTGTGGAGTTATCTGGGATGGTTTGTCTTTTAAGTGTCTCCTTCCGTAAGGATCTGATCTACGTTGGCGGCAGTCCAGTGTTTGATTGGCAAAGTCTGAGCACAAAACAGCGCTGAAAAACTCATGAAAGAATGTCATAAAATCGTTCATGACCTTAATGAATGCTTCCAGCAATAAATAAGTTTGTGTTTGACATAATTAGAGTACAAAAAAAGAAGGCTTTCCTCGAACCTATGTAAACAACAAATCGAGCAACGTGTTTTCAACGTCACACAAATTCATGATAAAACCCGCTGAACAAACATACTGCATAACTCCGAAAATCATCTCGACAACCACAAATCGAGATTCTTTCTGGCATATAGCACACAGGGATCCCAATTGTCAAGATTAGCCTACAATAATAATAATGCCGCAAGTACGAAATTGAAGGGGAAAACTACTATGCTCGAACTGATGGAATCTCTAGAAAAAAGTTAGTAACCGATAAGGCATGAAGATCGTGCTATCCTTGTGACTTCCTTATGCAAGTTATAATCTCTTAAAGGATGCGTACATGGGTATCAAACAACAATGCACACTTTAATACCTTATGCGATACCAGTCTTTCTTTCTCAGCGGTATCTCGTCTTATTCTAAACAACTTTGATGTAACCACTCTGTCCCAAAACTGCAGTTCTTTCCTTTCTTTTTCTTTCCTTTTCTCATTCTTCAGAGCCATTGAACATATCGCATAACCAAGCGAAAATTTCGTTCTTACATCTCGGATTAAAAATGCGCAACCGATGATGGAATTTCGGCTCGTTCGTGTCGTCGTATTCTTAGACGTAGTGGCACTAGAAGTAGTTGTCCTTGTCGTTGGAAACGCAGAGGGTTTCACTGTTATTTCTTCTACCACTCCCTCGGGATTATTGTGTGTTGGGACCGTTGATGGTGGTGTTTTAGTTGGAGTTGAGGGTGCAACAGTACCTCCTACTTCTTCCTCTGGGTTATTGGGTATAGGAAGCGTTGGTGTTGTACTGTGGGGTGCCACAGTCTCTTCATTGGGGCCACTGTGAATCGGCATTGTTGTTGGTGCTGTATTGGGAGACGCAACGGTCTCTTCCTCTACCTCTTCTTCAGTAGGTGGTTGGGTTGGGTTATTTTGACTTGGTTGCTGAGCTGAACGACGAACCGAGAGCAAGCAACATCAAAAACTACGTTGTGTCCCTACTATTAGGAAGCTTAACTATCGACGAAGAAACACAAGACGACGAATAAATGATGACGTCACGGTTGAAGAACCCTTGGGCGAGGAGTGCGTTTTCGGCAGGATGTCTTGAAAGCTAAGCAAGCTTTACTCTCCACGACAAACACTTAAAGGACTACTTCGACGATATGGTGGCCATCTTGCCAGAGTACAAAACAAAACAAACATGACGAAAAATATATAGTTTCGTGTGTTTGTGTTTCTTTTATGGGTACAAGTGATCGATGTCTTAATTGATCTTTTTTTGTATTCTCTTGTTGTGAGATGTTAACATCAATCGACGTCATTACTGTAGGGGTTTATTTGCCCCTTGGATGCCCCGTGATGCCTTGCGATCCAAAATGGCTGCCGTATCGTCGAAGTAGTCCATTATGACATCATTTAAAGGCAATCTACTTTTATTCAAAAAACAAAAAAACAAAAACAAAAAAAAGGAAAACAAAAACAAAAACGGCTCAAACATACAAAAAGCGCATACATATTCAGTCTATAATATGTATTTTCGGAATTGTGAGAGGTTATGAAAAAAAACTTTGAACTTTAAAAAGGAAATAACTTGCGTTTTCGTGTACAACTGGAAAACCCGTAGCCGACGAAGACAGGACGACTGGTTCCCTTTACAGACATGTACAGTGCCTTAAACATGTAACGATCCGATTTCCGATCGTCGTCGTCGTGTGTTTCGTCGTCGAAGCTTGAGCTCCCTATTACTATATCGTGACGCACGAACGACATGTTAAAACAAACCACACTTCCATTGACAAAAGCACGATTTCTCAGTTATTTTTCTAACAAAACACATATTAGCCGTTGCAAGGTTGAGGAGAAAACTAGGTCGAATTGGCATTGCAGTACATTGTTGGACTGTCTTGGGGGACGCCATCTTGGAAATATGTCCCTTAAAATATCCCCAATACACTGCACAGGCTTACTTTCATTTTGTGACAGCGAGACACTAGATGCTTTTTCCGATATCTTAGATGTTTTGGTAACTAGTTTTGAATCTTTTCTTCTTGCTTATGTAATATGAGATTCTTCATGCTCTAGTAAAGTGTTTTTTTTTTTGGAGTAAATCAGCAATGCAACTGTCTTCTAGGTGCGTATCCAGAGTTTTCCATGGTGGTAGGGTGAGGGGAGGAGGGTTTGGGGTGACTCTACTAACCTCACAAATCACCTAACCCTCCCCTTACCCACAATAGATACAAACGTTACAAATGTATTGTCAATGGAAGGTTGGCAGAGGGGACCAGGAACCATTGGATACGCCCTTTTCTTATTTAATCAAATGCATAAAAACTAAAGTGTGCAGATCAGCTTGTGAAAAGCCTCGGAAAAAAGACACAATTGCCCTATTCCACTAGGAAGTCACCAGTTTGTTTATAGGGGGCAGAATTATCAAAAAATTTGGACTAAATTCACCCAATAGCTAAATTGATAGCTCTAAATGTCTGGTTTTCAAACCTTTGTTGGCTATCATTGCTTTTCTAAGTTCTTAATGAATTAAATTTTTCGCATTTTTCCTTTTGTAGTTAATGTTTTGTCCGATGATTCTTAGCGTCTTTTCATTTAACGTCATAATCAAATAGGGCAATTGAAATGATGAAAAGCACCTCGAAAGAGAGCAGCTAGGCCAATTAGAAAAGAGTTAGGAAAGTTAGCATTAGAAAGGTCAAGAAAAAAAATTAAATTTGAGTTCAGTTTGAAGAAATTAAATCTAGATTGAGAACAGAAGTCGATGGTGGAAGAAAGTGTTGGAAAAGGGTTAAAAAATGGAGATAAAAGAATGATAACTGAGAAAAAGAGACAAAGGTACGACATCATTATCACGACATCAAAACTGACAGCGAAAAATGTTAAATCACATCAAACCATAAATAATATTCCTGGAAAAAAATACACTATACACCGAATCAAAAAATGACGACCAATGTGAATAATTATGGTTCTGCAATGACTAGCGTCGTGTTCACGTGGAAACAGAAAAGCGTTTTCACATGTATGAGAGGCTAGTCAGTCCCTAGTCAGTGCAGAATAATAGTTATTCAAATTGTTCGCCATATACACGGTTCTCTAGGTAGGAAAGCATGTCCTACTGCAATGAGGTTAATCCCGAGACCAGTAATCATGTCAGTAGGGTATGATCATCATATCACGTGTTATTCTCTTGAGATTAAGATTCTTTGTTTGAATTGTATCCACATTTTTTTGTCTTCTCATGAGCAACCGTTAAACCAAGAATAGTCCCTTTCACAGTTCCCAGCGCCATCTTGAAAGGTAGCCGTTCCTTTGCATCGAAGCGAGACGAACGGTCGCTTGCAATGATAGAGACCTTTTTTTAACACATTGGACAATTATTCACATGTCTCTATCATTGCAAGCTCACCGCTCGTCTCGCTTCGATGCAAAGGTACGGCTACCTTTCAAGATGGTGCAGGGAACTGTGAAGGGAACTATTGATACTCTTAGGGAATGACACGTGGTCTGAAATGGGAAAACATTGCGTCCAAAGTAAAGAGTTTTGTCATTTGCCCGTTGCCTTTCATTACAAAGTGGTAAGGGATTGGAGGGTGCGGTAATCGCTTTAGAGAAGATTTCGTATGACTGTAAAACGGCACCACACACGGCACGGTTATGGTACGATTTGATGACATACTTTGAACCAATCAGAACGCACGAGATAACTACTCATCCAATCAAAATATTTGGACACACCGTTAAATTTACGGCACGGCACATCCGTACCATTAGTTTTTCACAGTCGTACGAAATCTTCTGAACTTAGACTTGTGAAGAAAACGTTATCAAGGAGAGATAAACGAATGATAAAGTTGAATAACTTACAGCCTTCGACCTCAGGTTCAAGAATTTCTTCCTCTTCCGCGCCTGCTCCTAAAAAATTAATACTATATTGAGCCTCTAGTGAAAGTGGGAATTCAGTTAGTTAGTCGTGCCCTAACGTTTTGATCAGCCCAGAGGTTGTTTCAGGGTTCGATCTGTGAATAATCCGTGACCTAAGGTCGATTTAAGATATCTATAAAATTTGAAGAAAGGTTGAAGGCGGTTTGGAGACCGAATAACTTAAAGGGTTCACACGAAAGCCGAGCATTACCTGCGGGACAAACATCACAGCAGCCACCATTTGGGTCTGGAACCATCATGAAGCGTGGACATGCAGTCGGAGCGCCTAAATCATAACCGCATTCTACCGATTGGCACATTGGTGGTTGGCCGTTTGCGCACTGGCAAAAATTACACTTGGAGGTCCAGAACGTTTCAGTAGCGGCACAGATGCTTGGTTCTTTATACAAATGCAGAAAGAATATAATAGAAATCAATATGAATGTATGGAATACATATCATAGGCCTTTTAAGTTAGGACGTATTTCCGGGTCAAGCTGCTTACAAAACCACTAAAATAAAGCGATAATGTCCTCAATGATTTAATCTAAACCTAAGACAATTAGAACTTTGGATAAAAAATCCTGTCCAGAAGAAAATGAATGAAAACTCTTAGTCCATGAGCTGAGACCTGAAAAATCAGTTTTCGTAGCACCCCCCTGGAGACATAGTGAAACTGGTATCAAATGAAAGCTTATTATCTATATTTTCATGATCCACTTGTTACTTTTTATGTAACCTGTGCTTAAGTGAGATATACGACCGAATCTG